AGTGTGTCTGGCCTGGCCACCCCACAGCAGGGGATGCAGAGCAGGCTCTTCTCATGGTCTTCAGATCGCTCTCCCTTGTCTTGCATACCTGTCCTCATGGAAGGATGTGGTCTATGAGCCGATCGGGGGTGGGTGGGGTGGGAGGAAATGAAATATTTTCTGAAAGAAGATTATTTTCAGAAATTGTTTTAAAGTTAGGCCAGGTGTGGTCACTCACACCTGTAGTCCCAGCACTTTGGGATGCCAAGGCAGGAAGATCTCTTGAGGTTAAGAGTTTGAAACCAGCCTGGGCAACGTAGTGAGACCATGTGTCTAAAAAAAAGAAGAAGAAGAAGAAAGGAAGAAAACTTAGATGAGCATGATATGTTCCTATAGTCTCAGCTACTTGGGAAGCTGAGGCAGGAGGATCGCTTGAGTCCAGGAGTTCTAGGCTGCAGTGAGCCATGGTCACAACATTGCACTTTTTCACTGGGTGAAAAAGTGAGACTCTGTCTCTGAAGATAAATAAATTAGTTAAAGTACTGTGCCAATAAGGTAATTCTTAACACAATGCTAAAAAGAAATTAGAGGTAGTGAAATGCAATGCATCATTGAAGCATCCAACAAAAACCAAGACAAGTGGAACAGGGGGTCTGGCTTTGAATGTGCTTACACTTGGAATAATCCACAGCACTGGCACCCTCTGATGTTGAAGCCTGGATCTTCCTGGGCCTGGACCCACACGTCCAGGCACAGGCCAGGAGAGAAACATCTGCTGGAGTTTCCCCTGAACCTGTGCACTTGGCCACCTTAGAACCATTGCTATTACAGAGGCAGTTTTAAGGACCCCAGATAAAAGATTTGACAGAAGGAGAAGAAGCACCAGCATCCACAGTTGAGTCTGTGCTTCCCAGAGTGCCAAGGGCTTTTTATACAGAATTTCATTTCAATAGTTTCAATGGGAAGGCAAAAAAAGACAATTTCATGCCACCCTCAGTGCAGCTTGATATCTTAATTCACGAGATAATATTTTTGTTCTTCCCTCTGCATTGCTATCTCTGCCTTGAATGTCCATTTCCTGGATCTTCACGTCTGTGGACCCCCCTGTCCATACAGACTCAATCCAAACCCTACCCTTTCCATAAAGCCTCCTGTGGTTCCTTGTCCACCACTACTACCAGCCACAGTCAGAAATAATTTCATCACATACTTATTCATTCTGTGCCATAGCTTCCTCATCTATAAGATGGGCATAATATTAATACCTTCTCCATACGATTATTGCGGGAATGAGGAAGAACGCTCAGAATTAAGCTTAGCATATAAACAAAGTTTAATAATGATAATATTTGTAGTTGTTGTCAATGGATATAATTTATCTTCTTTGCTACCCTCACTGTAGGATTTTGGAGGCAGGGTACGAATGAGGTCTTATTCATCTCTGAACCCAGAGGCTACCAATCAGACTTGATGCCCAACAGATACTCAGGCTCAGTAGAATGTTTGATGAATGAGAGTGGAGGAGTGTCAGACGCCAGCGACAAGAGCAACCTTTGAGCCAACAGACTCCTCAGTCATTAACCCTCCATCTGCCTGGCCAACTTTATGGGCCACCTATCACTACGTGGCTATTGTTCAAAGCTGGCCAAACTATCCTGGTGCTGGCTGCTGGCAGCCTTGTCTTCAAGCAGCCGCCAGAGAGGCTGCTACGTATGCTGACAGCATCATCGAAGCTGCCTTCAGGGCTCTGCTTCTCGGGGGCTGGTACAGATGAAACCTGTGCCCCTGGCAAAGTGGGGGCCTGGTCTTCCTGCAATCCCAGCCCTGCTTGGATACCCATTACAGCAATGAGCACGGCACGTTTGACTTCTTGCCTTGTCTCTCACGCTTCTCAACACGGACGATTCGTAATGGATGTCAGACTTTGAATTTCTTATCATGTTGTTTATATCTAATAAGTGAATTGCCCTGTTTTTTTAAAAGTCAGCTTTTAAAATACTGTGTTTGAACATCTGTCAAGGGCTGGGGATTAGCTGAATAGGCACTGGATGCCAGGATATTATATTCTCTCTTATCCTTTATACTGTAATTATCTTGATCCTCAAACAACTCAGCACCAGTTACAACCACTTTCGCAGACTTGTTGTTGCTGCAAATTCAAAAAATTATTTTATTTGAATCTAAATTAAACTGATATGTAACAAGGTTTTTTTTTTCCCTGCTAAGTCTCAAAAAACAGTATCTGCAGATGATTAAAAAACAGTAAAACACGGACAATTTCAAAGTTTATTTCAAGAATAAACTCATGAAAATTCATCTAATTATGCAGCAGTGTACCAAAAATAATCTTTTCCAAACCTAAATTTGTTTAACAAAACACACAGTCAGCTAAGCCAAATGAAAGCAAACGTGTGTTTATGCCATAGTAACCCCCTCCCCCTGGCTGCTCGAGTGGGCACGAGGGCTTGGCAGGGTCCTGAAGCCTGTTGGCGGCTTCTGAGTCCTGATACTTTGCTTGCTGGTGTTTCCAACGAGGGGGCCATTGGCTCCACTGGTCACAGAAATGGACCCTGTTGCTGCTTGTGTAAGTGGTCTCTGTTTCTGGCATGTGGAGAGCTGAAGCAGGGAGGACAGAGCTCTTTACTCTCAACAACTCAGGGAGAAGAAGAAACTACCAAAGCATCATGCACATAACCGCAGGCAGAGTGGTACTGTGTCTGCCAATGATTAATAGTAATAGTGAGAATAGCTACTGTTTATTGAGCCCTTGTGCTGCACCAGGTATTCATTTAGGAGTCTCACATTCTTCATTTTTTCAACTGACCCATATAAGAAAATAACTGGAACCCGGTCATCATGACTCCTACTTTACAGATGTAGAAACTGAGGTTTAAGGGGAAATAGCCAGCCTAAGATCACACAAGTAATTGGCTGAGCTGAGATTTGAATCTGTCTGACTTCAAACGCCATGTGTTTAAACTGTCATAGCATATTTTGTTGACTCAGGCCTGGGCCAGCTTCTGGAAAGCAGAAATCTGGGAATCCATGGGAATCCAAGCTCTCCCATCCTAGACAAGTTCCTGGTTACTTTCTGGATCTCAGTGTACTCATCTGTAAAGTGGAGAACGCAATACTTAAGACATAGTAAAAATTCAAAAAGTCGTAAAATATGACTATTCAGTTAGACGATACACCCTCAGAGGGCAAGAAGTATGTTATTTTGTTTGTAATTGTAACCCTAGTACCCCCCATAATAATGCCTTTCACAGTGTTTGGCATATAAAAGAGTAGGAGTGAAATCATAAGACAAGCTTCCTTCCTATAACTTGTTTACAGCTTATTTGGAAAGAAAAAGCAAGTGCGAGCAGATGAGAAAACAACCCTGGTGAACATGTCATCACGGAGATGCTAATTAGCTGCCAGATTGGTGATCTAGCAATAATGTCATATTGGACTTGTTCCACCAAGCATTACAAAATTGGGTTCTGGCCCCAGTGTCACAACTTCTTAACTGTGAAGGTTTTTGAACTTCTCTGAACTTCTGTAGGAGAGGGATCATAATGATCTAACTTTTCTTTTCTCCTTGTACTATTGTGAAGTCTGGAAAATACTGTCACATGCTTTATGAAATGTCATGGCCACCAGCATTTTTGGCAGGAAGAGCAGGCATGAGGCTGAACTCTCTGGAGGAAATGGCTGGAGGTCTCAGCTGTGGACGAGGAGCCACATTTTGCTATAGATTAGAATGTATTCCAGAAGGAAAACTAAAATCAAGGATCTATGTCAAGTTCAACCCCTATGTTTCCAGAGGCCTACGGAATCCTGGGCATTGTCACTCACTATCACTTGCCAGTAGCAGTATTAGGCACTCACTAAATATTTTTTAAATCAAGTTCATTTGTCCTAATTGGCATCATGGAATTGAATTATATTGAATGCAAGGGCTTCAAAAAGCCCAGTTAAAATCCACCTGCCACCCAATCACATAAAATCGCCAAAACAACTTTCTACGCTAAGTTCCATGGTCTGTGCTTCTGCTGTATCTTTTCTCTAACTGAGGCAGAGTGCATGGGGAAGGCATGGCTTCTGGAAGGGAATGATAGGAGGGCACATGCATGGATACTAGGAAGAATTTTTCTCCCCCAGGAGCAAGAACCTGGGATTTCTAGGGAAACAGAAAGGAGGCCTCACATCCCTCAAATTTCACTGGCACATGCTTCCCTAAATTGCCTTAACAAGTGAAGCTCCTTTAATCTCAGCATTCATCTATTAATTCACCAAACATTTTTGGTCCTTGCTGTGTACCTTGGCATCATGCTAATCCCTGGGTCTTAAGGGTTTCAAATTTTCTATTTCTGTTATCTTGGGCAAGTCCCTTAAACTTTCCTATCCTCAGTTTATGTATCTATAAAATAGACATCATTTTTGATGCCTCCCAGAGTTTGTAGGAGGAACAAATGAGATTAAAATACTTCACACGCTGTCTGACATTTAACAATTACTTTAAAAGAAATAGTCATTAAAGAATTAAAAGATGTTTTTAAAAAAGAAATAAAGGCCTCTGGATCTAATAATGTGATGTCATGGAAAGAACTAACTATAGTTGGAAGTTGAAAGTAATGAATGCACGTGTAAAAAAAAAAAAAAGGACCTGACTGTGCTAGTCTCCTGCCCGAAAACCATCCACTGCCCGTCATCCACCCCCAAAGAGCCGCAACTTCTGAGAGCCTAGCCACCTCTCCAGACCCATCTCTCATAGCCCTGCTCCCTGCCCCCAACGTATGCCCTGCTCTTACGCCACACGTGGATTTGACTGGCTAGTTATTGAAGAAAACATATTCTCTCAGGCCTCCCTGGCTTTGCACACACTATTCTCTCTGCTTGGAGAAGCCCCAGTCATTTGACAAAAGCTCGCTGGATGTCAGCCCCTCTGGGAGCCCTCCAAGAGTTGTCTTTTTATCAGGGCGGAGTTCTGTTATTCTTCTCTGATCCCTGCAGCACTTGGGCAAACAGCTGATGCAGAGTTCATTTTGTGAAGCTGTGACCAGTTTTCCAGTAGACCATGAGCTTGCTGAGGGCAGGAGCCTACCTGTCTTTGATCTTTGCTTCCGTGGGGTCTATCCGGGTGCCTGACACAGCAACTTTGAAGATGGAAGGGATGGAGGGAGGTAACTGGACGGGCAGGAAAAGTTCAAGTGCTCTGTTCTTACAGGGGGAGTAGGGATTGATCCAGAATTAGTTATTTAGAATAACCTGGAGAAATTCTGGAAACAAAACAAAACACACATATAGTTCCTGCCTCCCAAGAGTCTGCTGTCATATGGGCCTCAGGCAAAAATGGATTTACCTTGACACTAGTGGAGTTTATACTTCAAGACCCTTCATTTGCACACCTCCTTCCAGGGACCTGGGAGAAGCTCCAGCAACTCCTTTTTTTACTTTTAGACAGGGTCTTGCTCTCTTGACCAGCCTGGAGGGCAGTGGTGCGCTCTTAGCTCACTGCAACCTCCACCTCTCTGGCTCAAGCAATCCTGCCACCTCAGCTTCTCAAGTAGCTGGGACAGGTAGCAATTTCTTACTTATAACTTTATATGTATATTTTAAAAAGGACTATCTATATGGAATGAGCTCAGGTCCCACAAAACCTGGATCAACCTCTGGCCCCAGGATCCATAGTTTCAATAAGCTTAACAAGTGATTCTGATACACAGCCAGATTGGGAGATGACTTGCTACTCAATGTGTAATTCACAGGCCAGAAGCATCAGGAAACATCATGGTTGGGCAAGTCGGAAATGCAGAATCTCAACCCTATCCCCGACCTACTCTCTGTGAATCTGCATTTTAATGAAATCTCTGGGCTGATTCACGTGCAAAAATTCACATTCAGAATAAAGTTATGAATTGCTGCTGTAATGATTTCTTTGAGAGAGAAACGATTTCCAGCTGTAAAATCACAGAGGCCTTCTTGGAGGAGGTGATCTCTGAACGAGGACCTAAAGTAGAGGCAGTATTTGGGTATGTGAAGTATTTTAGCAGAAGCAGCAGCAAGCAGCATCAGTGGAATCCTGGAGATGGGGAATATGAGCAGGTGTTTAGTAGACCAGGGCCTTTGGGCTGGAATGAGAGAAGACAACCACAGGTAAGTTGAGTCCGGTGGTAGGGAGGGAGGGAGGCAGGCTGGGAAAAAGCTCACGTGTTGGGTTAAGGCCTTTAGATTCTAATTAGTTAGGAATGTGGAGCCTTGGTGTTTGGGTCCAGAAGATATGAGAGATTCAGCTGCAAAAGCAAAACATCCCCTGGGAGAGGGAAGCCAGGCACAGTATTTATTCATGCTCAGGTACAGATTATTTATGCCCAAGCCTTGCCTCGAAGATGTCAAACAAGGGAAAGGGCAGGAAGCCAGAAACAAGGACTGAGACTTCATGAGGGAGGTACTCATATTTTTTCCCACTCTGCAGAGTTGGTGAGAGTCTCAACGGCACTCCCATCCTTGGCACTGCACAGTCAGGATATTTGCTGATTGTGGCTTACAGAGAGGAAGGATCTGGGTGTGGTCCAGGGTGAGTCCTGTGAAATCCCATCACTCCTGCTCCCTGCAGGCTCCACTTCTGCAGCTTCCTGTGTTCAATTCATTCCTGCAGCCCAAACAAAACCTACCTACAGGGTTGTTAGAAGGACTAAAGGGCATAATATAGCAAAGTACCAGAAATATATTGGGACCTGAAAAAAAATGCATGTAATCCTTTGAACCTTGAGTCAGAACTCATGGTTCATCCACTTCCTTATGCTATCACGTGGTTCAAGTTATAACAGTGGATTTTCAATGAACGCTTCATCATAAAATGCCCAAAATACCAGCTATAGAAAATTCATCATTTGGCCTTAGAGTGGGTTTTGTCAAGGCTTGAGGTCATATACACACTTTAACAACACACATTAATAGTAATTTAATGAGCATTTACTACATGTTGATCATTGTGATAAGCATCTTACAATACATCATCTCATTTTGTCCCATCATAAGATGAGGAAAGGGAAGCTTGGAGATATAGACTGTCTTACTCAAAGTTCTATTACTATTAAGAGGCAGAGCAGGAAACAGAAGTCATCACCAGGGTGAGATCAAAGCAAGTACTCACCTGCAAAGCTTCATATGGGTGCCACAGGTGAAACAGGTTTCATTAGGAAATGTACATTTGGCTTCTTCCATCCCCTCCACATCTCATTTCAAATGCTAGGGAGAGTCAACATCACATTTCATATAGATAGAATTGTAGACTCAGAGTCAGAGATAGAGAAAATATAAGGATGATCTAGTTCAATGCTGCTCCCTTACAGAGGCAGAAATGGAGGCACAGAGAGGTTGCTTACTTGCCCATGGTAACACAGGATAAGAGTGTCTTACCTCTTATAGTTCATATGTTAAGATAAAAACAAACATTTGAAAACATAGATTATCTTGTTTTGTTCTATCCTCGCTTCTTCACATCCTGTCCCAGGCATCAGCTCTCTCCTCTTTCTTTTTTCTTTTTCTTTTTTTTTTTTTTTTTTGAGACGGAGTCTCGCTCTTGTTACCCAGGCTGGAGTGCAATGGCGCGATCTTGGCTCACCGCAACCTCCGCCTCCTGGGTTCAGGCAATTCTCCTGCCTCAGCTTCCTGAGTAGCTGGGATTACAGGCACGCACCACCATGCCCAGCTAATTTTTTGTATTTTTAGTAGAGATAGGGTTTCACCATGTTGACCAGGATGGTCTCGATCTCTTGACCTCGTGATCCACCCGCCTCGGCCTCCCAAAGTGCTGGGATTACAGGCTTGAGCCACCGCGCCCGGCCCTTTTTTCTTTACTCATTTATGTATTGGTTCAGCAAATATTTATTGATGTACTATTGTGAAATAAGTTACATTCAGGGAAGAGACAGGAATTTAGGAAGAATAAGTAATAAACAAGAGAGAAAAAAGAAAAGTAAAGAAAAGAACAAAAAAGTACAGAGAAGGAAGTGGAGAGAGAAATACAGAAAAAGAGAGAAGGAAGGAAGGGAGGGAGGGAAGGAGGGAGGGAGGGAGAAAGGGAGGGAGGGAAGGAAGGGACAATATCAATTGACCACTTTCTATTGGACAGGCACTTTTCTAAGCATTTTACATGTATTAACTCATTTAATTCACCCAGAAACCCTATATGGTAGTCACTATTCTTATCTCCAATTTACAATGAGGAGTCTGTGGCACAGAGACCTGAAATGAATTGCCCAAGGTCAGAGGGCTGGAAGGTGGCAAGGCCAATATGCAAACCCGGCAGATCTGGCTCTAGAGGCTTTACTTGGGACCTATGCATGTAATCGTATTGTAATGTACTCTATTTGCTCTGATGGCCACTGGAAGTGGATTAGATACTCACAGTAAGAACATTAGTGTTCCTGAGGGTCTTTATCATTTTTTCTCAATGGAGAACCATCATCACAATTTGTCATGGACCATCAGTGCCCACGGTGTGAAGGGAGAAATGTATTGCACATAGAACCATCAAGCAGAGGAGCCTGGAAGGGAAGAGGATCATGGAATTTAGAGCCATGGGACCTGGGGTTTAGCTGTGTCCCTGCCACTCCCTAGTTATGCCATGGGATGAGTCAATCCATCTCTTTAACTGTCTGGCTCCTCATGTGGAAAATAAAAATTATAGTTGATTCGCCCCTATCTACTTCGGAAAATCAAATTGAGGTGAAAGTAGTTTATAACATCAAAGGGCAAAACCAGTGTGAAATCAAACACAACCGTCAGTCTTTTCTCCTTAATTTTGTGTAGATGTTTATTAAAACAGAAAGAAAGAAACTCTGTGGGGGTGGGGGTGCTGAATTTAAAATGAGGATAATGGAGAAAACCCAGAAAGGAAGGTTTAGATGATGAGCTTCCAGTGGATAAGGGAAAGAAGGGGGATTATTTGGAAGAACCAGAAAGGGCCCTGTGGATGGTTAACTGCTTTGGATAAATGGATGGTTATAGTCATTTATTCATTCATCCATTCGTTCATTTGATTAGTATTTATTGAGTGCCTCCTATGTACCAATGACAGTGCTACATACTGGGGTACAGTTCTTTAGAGAACCGACACAGTCCTGGTCCTCATGGAGCTTGCAGTATGCAGAAAGTCAGACACTGAACAAATATGTACAGAATTTAAATGCATAATAATAAACTGGGATACATGCTATGAGAGCAAGGAAAAGAAGAATTTTCTATAAGAGAGAAAAACAGTATTGGGTAGGTGAGGACACACTGAAAGACTCAATGCCCTAGTTTTCCCATTATTCCTCCCCACCACCCACTAACTGCTATTTGAAAGGCTATAGGTCTCTGCTACATACAGACATGTACTATCTCAGTTTAATGAGCAATCTTTTGAGTCCCCAATAAAAATATGTGGGTATATCCCCAGGTGTCAGGTGTTGGGCTCCCTTCATGGTCAGCCCTGGCTGCAGCCCCCTTTGATGGAATCCCTGCATATCATTTTTATTCCTATTTTACAGATTTAAAAAATTCTCACAATAGTTCAACGATTCATCCCAGATAACACCTAGAAAATCCAGACCAGGGTTCAGGACTTTCAATAGCAAATCAAGGGCTCTTTCTGTTCACACTTAGAATAAAATCCTAACCACAAGGTCCAGGATGTCATAGCTTCAGCCAGCTCTTGCTACCTCCCTCTTCTTTACCAGGCTTTATCCACACAGGCCTTCCCAGGATGCAAAAAGATTTTCCCTGCTTCAGGGGCTATGCATCAGTTCTTCTTTCCTATGTCTGGAATGCTCTTCCTTTATTTTTTACTTGGCTACCATCTTTCAATTTTACATCAACTTTATTGAAGCATACTTAAAATTTTTTTATCTTTATTTTTTAGATGGAGTTTTGCTCTTGTTGCCCGGGCTGGAGTGCAATGGCATGATCTTGGCTCACTGCAACCTCTGCCTCCTGGGTTCAAGCAATTGTCCTGCTTCAGCCTCCCAAGTAGCCGGGATTACAGGTGCATGCCACCATGCCCAGCTAGTTTTTGTATTTTTAGTAGAGACGTGGTTTCATCATGTTAACCAGGCTGGTCTTGAACTCCTGACATCAGGTGATCCACCCACCTCAGCCTCCCAAAGTGCTGGGATTATAGGCATGAGCCACCGTG